GGCTAGTGACGTGCTGAAGGATTGGTGGGCAGACCAACAGCCTGCTAAGTATGTCACCAACTCTCATTTCCCAGTATGCATTAGTCGCCTAACTTCACTGACTGTCCACTCTTACCAGTTATATCTTGGAAGGGAATTTTGCTTACGGAGTCGTGGTGACGCGGTAGTTATTGGTTATTGCGCTGGACTCGAGTCGAGATGTCCAGGTTCCAGACTTGGGCTAGTCATTGTGTTGTGTTCGTGGGAAATACGCTTTGCTGTCACAGTTCCTTCTCCCAGGAGTATGAATGGGTACAAGAGCATTGTCAGGGAAGAGCTAATGGGGTATCCTTGCGAAGGACTGGCATCCTATCTAGGGGGGAGTAGAAATAGTCCTAGTCCATTCATGCCATGGAAACCAGGATAAGCTCTGGCTGGATAAGCCATTTGGCTCAAGTACAGACTTCACTTTCCTACCTACCAATGTTTCCCTGACAGTTCATTATTTCTCATTTACACCCCTGGGGTGGAGAAAGGCTCTAGAACATGGGATAGTAACTCCGATTAGGGTCAACCCCAGTCCTGCTCTGAGGAGGACTAAGAAAAATACCTGAGCCTCTATGAGGAGCGCGAAATCCAATGGTTTGATGTTTTTTTTTATCCTTACGGGACTCGGAATTATCTCTTTGTCCCACGCTCGTAACAAGACGAAGAACATCTTTCTTCGTTCCATTTCGGAGCTCCAAATTCAGGATCTCTTGAGGGTTTAAGAGTTAGGTAGCTAAAATTTAACTATCGTGGTTCAATTCCAGACTAGGCTTGTTGCTGGATGTTCTCCGGCTGTGCATCACTCTGTTCGAGTATGGTGGCAAGGTGCAGAAGTCTTCGCAGTTTCCAACCGCTCCAAGACCGAGGGCGCAGCAGGATCTAAAAGCAAAAATAGAAGAGATGTTGCTTGGAAATAAGGGAGCCGCTAGGAAAATGATGCAGCGACATAGCAGAGTGACGTTAGGTAGCAAAAGTAAGTGATTAAAGAAAGATATGAACATTTGTCACAAAGGACAATTTATTGGATTCTCTTTACTAGGTGAGCTTCGGGGAACTCGTTAGTAAGGCGGGTGATATGTCGGGCCATTTGACAAGCGACTTATTCCTAGAATCAGCAATGACAACAATAATCTATCCGAAGATAGGAAAAGAAATGCTGGAAATTTATGACTCAGTCGATAGAGCGTGCCACTGCAAAATACTTAGATGCACGGTTGACATTCTCGCAGGGCAATCAAATTTTACTTTGTTCTGCGCTTAGGAAAATTGCTAAAAACAAACTGATTAGTTTCTGAAGAAACTGCTGTGTTACAGAGGCTGGAAAATGAAGCATTTAAAACTGGCTCACCCCAGCAAGCTGAAGTACTC